CTGAAGGTCTGCTTCAGTCTTTAGGGGAGTTCTTTGTGCCCGTACTAAACCCTGCACACATACACTAAGGGCTCTGAGATGATGTGTTAGTCACTTTGCAAAGACCTTGTTTTTACAGATATTAATTCCCTTATTGTATGACTTCACTGAGCGTGCTCGAGGTCCTGCATTCAGAGAATGGGCGACGACGTTAACAAGAACCGTCACACTTTCTGTGATCTCGTTTTTTGATTTAAAACAATTAACTGATGTGTTCTCATTGAATATCTTTCTGTCAAAACAAATAGTCATGCTCACTTATAATTCATTGTCAGTGCTATTCGAAGTCAGTCTAAATGAGTGTGTTTACATGGACCTGAGTATCCTGGTTATGAGCCTTATTCTGGTCCTGATCATATTCAGGATCTGGTGTGTACATGCACACAGAGAAACCTGGTGATTCATATCCCTATAAACATGATAAATACTAGAATCCTGCTTTCTGATCACTGCTTCTTATTTGTGCAGGCGCCTTTTTGTGTTGATATTTACCAACACAAACCGCTGCAAATTTAATGTCTTGGAAAAATGAGACCACTGTGGATTATTGCAGGCACAGCAGTATTAAACACCAACATGTTGCAGATATTTCCTTATTTCCAGCAACAGGAGAAGAGAGCATCAGCGCATATATATATATATTATATATATATATATATATTTTAGCTTTTTTTCTTTTTTTCTTTTTATGCCTTTATTGGAGAGACAGGACAAAGGTCGGAGTCGAACATTGGAGAGAGATTGGGGAAGGACATGTGGGGAAGGAGCCACAGGCTGGATTCAACCCGGACTGCCCGCTTGGAGGTCTACAGCCTCCATTCATTGGGCATGTGGACTAACCGCTAAGTCTCCAGTGCCCCAGAGGGATAGCAAATATACAACATGTCCTCAGCTCTGACTGGTGTCATCCTGTCACTGTTGCTACAGAAATAAGACACTCTTGTTGCCGCCGCCATGTTTGTTTTGCTGCTATGTCACTTGCCTGAGGCCACGCCTACACAGGTAGTCAGCAGCTGTTAAGTGGGGTAAGGGGTATAGATGCCACAGTGTCCTGGTTTCTTTCAGAGTTCAACAGGTAGCAAAATCTGGTTTCTCAAAATCGGGGTAAGAGCTTATCAAGGTTTCTGAAATCAGGATTTGATGTTTTGATCCACAAACACAAAAACATGATAATAAAAAATCCCACTCTAAACTGAGCAACTCAAGTGCAGGTAAACACACCCAATGTTGACAACTCAAAATGTCATGTTTATGTCACCTCAACGATGTGAAGTCTCACAATTTACAGAAATGATCAATCTGAAATTGAGAATAAGAGTCAAGAAGATACCTTATACTAAAGTTAACCCTAGTTTAAATGTTGAATTAAGACATCGTTATAGGAAGAGGAAACGTCCGTGTGGGGGAGCCTTCTACAACAAATTCCTTGTTTTTAAACGAGTGCATTTTTTTCTGCACTCTGAGTATCAGCTAAATAAATAATGCTCAAACTGAATGCACTTTAAGAGTCAGGAGAAAATCAAGCTCACCTCAAAACTGCAGATCCACCCTTTCCACATATATCCTCTCTGCTTAAACGCTGTGGTCAGTTTGAGGACAACTACCTGAGAGCGTGAACACCTGTTATTAACTTTCAAGTAGTTTCCCCCTCTCCATGCATCTACTCGTTACTTCCTAATAAGCTCAATCTGTCATGTTGGCTTCCTCTCAGGATGACAGACTGTGGTGAAAAAGTGAAAGACAGTGAGTGTGAGTGTGTGTGTTATCATGCCTCACGTCTCCAAGCCCGTCTAGACTGTAATTCCGGTTGCTGCTCGTCTCCTTGGGTATAGACGCCGAGACGAGGAGCGCTGGTTGAAATCCAGAACATTATACCATCCAAATCCAGCTCTCACACGTTATTGCTTTAGATGGTTTCTCGCTCGTTTTCCCAGGGATGCTTGTGATTTGAGAACATTTCAGCTTTGTTGAAGAGCTGCATTAACGAACCAGGAGGGAATAAATGAAAGCACTGGGATACAGCGGAGAGAAGTCGTGGAGAAGTCATGGATTCACTGTCTCTTTCATGATGTCGTTCATCACCTGTCACGCTCTCTTTTCTTTTTGTGTGTTTCCATGTTTTTCACCCTCTTCCCAAACTCTCTATTGCCTCTAACGCCACCCAGCTCATTGCTGTCACATTATCACAACGTCTCCACATCTCAATCCACTCTTCCATGCATTCGCTGCTGACGAGAACAGGTCTCCATGGTAACTGTGCACACAGTTGCCAGGCGCAGGGGGGTTTTGTGCGCCGGGGAGAAGTGCTGATGCCAGGGAGAATCTGTTTGCTCACGCCAACAGAGACGCAGCGTACACCTCAATAAATCGGCGGATAGTTTTTATTATAATGGCCTCCTCTGTCGATAGAGGCCGGCTTATTTACAGTGTTTACCCTGTGGGCTCAGTGGAGGGGAAACAATGTGTGTGTGTGTGTGTGTGTGTGTGTGAATGTGTGTGTGTTTGTTGTCTATTGGGTTAAATAGCAGGGTTGGGTATCAAATGCTATTTCTAAATTGTAACTGGAACGAGAAAGGAAATGAAAATGATTATATATTACAATTATCACCAACAGTCAGGGTCAATCAGAAAACACTACTCTTGTGTTTGGCTCTGTGAGATAAAGCTAAACATGAACGGTTGAGGTTCAATCCCACCTTTTACATCACAGAGTGGTAAATTGACAAATCTGTCAACAGACATTTACGGATCCTAAATGAACTGTCTTAATGATTTTATTGTGATCACCTGATTTCCAACTAGATCCATCATGTGGTGATCATCTTTAGGATGAAATGCCTTAAAGTTTCCAGCCTAATGGTGCACTGTGACCAGGAAGTAAACAACAGGACAGTGGTAAAATGGCAGCCAGTAGTGTGACGCAGTTTGGCAGTAGTTGGATCTCTGAAATGATGATGAAGTCGGCGGTGTCAGGTTAAACTGGTATATGAACCAGAGCGATGTGTAACCACACTTAGCACAGGCATGTGCTAACCTGAAAGCAATGCTAATGTTGTTAGCAATGTTAATGTTAGTCACCCTTGTCAAACCTTTTGGTCATTGTTTACAGACGTCCAAATTCAACCCACAATGCACTGCAATCCGTTTCACTTCCCCTGTTTGGTCGGGATCGCGTTCTCACCTCCAATACCTGAACTGTTGGTCCACACCAGAGTTCGTTTGAGCTTCACACCACCCCAAACCAAATGAAGTTCATTTCAAACCACACGGCTTAGGTGTGAATGCACCAGAAGTGTTTGTAATGTCACTGTTCAATCCTTTACTGACTCCACTAATCCACTGCACATGGATCTGCAGGAGCCTCATTTGTCAACTGAGTTGTCAATCATATCATAAACTTCACTAAACCTCAACATTTATCAACATGACAAAAAGTAACTTAAATAACAGAAATCATGTTTAGAAAAAGGATTTTTTTTTTGTATTATGATCTTTTAGTTTTCTACATGTCGGATCTGTTACCATGAGAGGCGGGCTTCATGACCTATACTGCAGTCAGTCAGTAGATGGAGATACAAAGTTTTCCCTTCTCTTTTGGGTAAAGCCATCCGTCTGTGGATAGTCTTTGGTTTTCTAGCAGCACAGTTCTTCATTTAGCATGTTTGAGTGGGTTTCTTCCTCTGATAATACGAGCTGCTTTTGAACAGGGATTAACGGAGAGGCAACAATCCAGAAGGTGAATAACAAATGAAATCTAGATCGATAAAATCTAAAGGATCGTCAGCCCCAGGGTACACACATGGCCCTGCATTCTTGTCATTGACCTTGCAAGGCGATTGCACAGGTCAGCCACGTCTCCATCCATCTCCATCAGTCTCCATCAGTCCGGCTCCGGTCTATTCGTCCCAGCTGCTCTATTGTCCTCTGATGGCCACATGACTCTGACTGACCTTCACACCCACTCTCCATCTGATAAAGAAGACGCACTAAAGACACATCCAGAACTCAATGACAAGCTGTCAGTCTCCGAGCAGACACAGACACTGAGTTCTTCTTTTTGAGTGTCTGATAGTAAAATAGTCCTCACAAGCGTCACTGCTTCAGACATGATGAGACCACAACAAGGACAAAGTGTCCTGCTTTGAGAAATGCAACCAAAAAAAGGTGCACATATTTTAAAATGGTCCTTCGGTCCATCTCTTTTTCAGTAGAAAGAATAACAAAAGCAGATCACAGAAACCAGAACTATCTGTTCCTGATTAATAATAAATGTCCCTGTGCACTCGAGGAGAGATATATCTCTGCACCTTGTTGTCACAGAACAAAGTCCTGTCATTCTTAGTACTGCAGCAGCATTGTCTCTGTATTATTTTGTGATTCTTTTCTTTAAAGCAGCAGTATGTACATCTGACACCTAGTGTTCAGAAATGGTACTGCAGTCCAAATTCAAAACAGAGACCGCCCCCTCCTCTCAAGAGTTGATGCTCACACAGGTTGCCATGTCTCGGACACTCACCCCCAATTTCCAGAGACTCCATGCATGCCGTGTTCTGTGAGCGCCGCGCACTATGCTGTTGTTCACTGCCACATTAGTCAATGATTGTGTTTCCACAGCGGGCGCCGCGGTCTGTCTCCACAGCGCCACTACGCTCTTCTCTGTTTCAAATACGCTGTGAGATCTATTTTCAACGGAGTACGCTGCAGGCATGTGTTTAGCTGGACAGAAAATAACAACCCGGGCAGGAAGTCAGACAAGGAAATGTTTGTATTTTTCATCACTTTATCAAAATTTCATCAAAATAGGAACTGAATGAAGAACAAATCATCCTCAGGAAGACAAAGTAACATGTTGTTAGCACGTTCTTCTCTTTATTCCTGCTTGATCATTTAGTTCTCCTGTGATGATGGACCACAGTGTGCTATGTGGAAATTGAGGTTGAAGCTTCAGTGTTTAGCCAACTCTGCACCGGTCTTGATCAAATACAATTAGGGTCGCCTTATATTTGAACCAATATGGTATGTTGTTGTTGTTTCTGCTTTATAGCAGTTTCAACTAGACAATGTCAGAGGAAGGCGTGGAAGGTTTCCAATGAAAAAAAACTAATAACAAGTTAATATTAGCCCTTAAAAACAGACTATCACAAGTGAAAACAACAGAATAACTTAAAAGAAACATAGTTATGATTAAAAATGGCTGCTATGCCAATGAACTGAAATGGAGATGGGGGTTGGATTAGATAAATTACCATTTCTTCCAACTCCTTTTTTTAACATGTTGAAAGTGTCTGTTGTTACACACCATTCTTTTTGTTGGCTTGGCTTTTGTCATGGGAAATAAATAGTACATGTTCTAAAGAAATACTTAAATTAATCAAAAACCACTGAAAGGTTCTTTCTCAAAGGCTTTTTGTGTTTAGTGAAAGCTGGCACTTCCACAACAGAATTCCTGATTTCAAAGGGGAAAACTATTTGAGAAGAACAGTATCAATGCATGATGTCATGTAGTTTTTTATGAATGAGATATAAATATAGATAGATAATTTGAAGCTCGTGGAAATATAGATTTAATTCATTTAAACAACATATTTATTGAAATCTGCTGATAGACATATCCTTAAACTACATGCTCACTTATTAAGCTACTGAGACTAGAATATTTAGTGGATCAGAATCCTTTGAAATAAAACGGCTGCAATTGAACACTTGTGATGCAGACAGACATGAGGAGAGAAAGTTTTTACAAATCCATAGTGTATTGCTCATTCTTAAAGGCCTGTGGATGTCACTCCTCAGCATTAATTAGCTGTGATTTTTGATCGCACCGTGGAAAAAAGTGCAGCAACACAGCAGCAGATGGTTATCCTCCAGATGAGTCAGTAACCATCAGTGCAAACAGACCTTCACAACCACTTAAGACTAAATGCTCTAAACACTGCACGCCATCTTAAAAAAACCTGTGCAGCCATCGCAGTCTCCTCTGACAGACGCAGCATCCATAAACCTTCCACCAAGACAACTGCTCCCTGAAAGACTCCTGGAAGTGAAACAGCTGACAATAAAACTCTTCTGTCTGTCTGCCCTCAAACAGGCTCCTGTCAAATAAATCCAGGACGGCCAGCTCCTCTGGATCCTTTTACAGGGGAGGTGGTGACCGTTCTCTGACAGCTGCAGACGGACGGGTTTGGTTTATGAGCAGGTCCAGATGGTCGGTGCTGTCTCAACTAGTCTCTACTAAAGACGAGGTTTAAGTAGCACAAAGTGTCGCACTGTTCTTAAGGGGTCTTTATCTCCTATGACAAATGGCAGAGACACTCATACACTGGCCAAGAACATGACGAGGTGTAAGGCAGGTGATGAGGTCGCACTGCCTTCACTGGACCGGACCACACTGCAATGTACCGTATCGTATCGTACTGTCGCATCGTATTGTATCGTACCATATCGTATTGTACTGTTGCATCGTATTGTATCGCACCGTAGCATAGCATATTATATTGCACCATAGCGTAGCATATTGTATCGTATCGTATTGCATCGCATCGCACCGCATCGCACCGTAGCGTAGCACATCGTATCGTATCGTATCGCATCGTATCGTATCGCATTGCACCGTAACGTAGCGTAGCATATCGTATTGTACTGTAGTGCAGCATATCGTATCGCATGGCACCGTAGCATAGCATATCGTATTGCATTGTACCGTATCGTATCGCACCGTAGCGTAGCATATTGTATTGCATCGCACCGTATCGTATCTTATCTTATCGCATTGTACCGTACCACATCGCGTCATATTGTACTATATTGAATTGTATCATTCGGTATCGGACGGTATCCTACCTTATCATATTGTATCGTTAGGTATCATTACGTAATGTATCATATCGTACCGTCTCGTATCTATTGTGATTATTTAAATAGTCTAAAATTCAGCTGTGTCCTTGATTGTTGAATGTAAACATCCACATGTGTATCATCGTAGGCTGTGATATCAGCGCTGTGCCCCCTCTGCTCGGCTGCCGCTCATCCACAGGACTAACTGGGGGTCGGCTAATGGGATTATGTGGCTTGGAAGCCTTCATAAATGAAGTCCCCGGTGAGGAGCGAGGAGCCCCAGCTATCCCTTAACCCTCTTTAAAGCCTCTCCCTTTCACAGCCAGTCACACTGCAGCGCTAAGCCTGCACCGCCTCTGCTTCTCTGCTTACACGAGCTGTGCTCAGGCCGCTAGATGACATAACCTGGATGGCATTTCCCCTTTATTGCAGACATGAATTTCTATTCATCATTTTTCCTAAGATTTCATCTACAGCATATTAGTCTGTTGATTTGAGGCAGACAGGGTGCATAAAGGTTACGGGTCACATTCGGACAAAATAAAACCACATGGCTGAGTTAGTATGGTCGTGGCTCACTGATATTAATGATTTTAAAATGGCCAGTTATTGTCATGAAGGCTGTTTGCTTCTCCCCGCATGAAGCAATAAACATTGAATGATAGTTGTGCTTCCTACAGGTCATGTCTTATTGCTTTTGGTAAATGGTTAATGGACTTAAGCTTGTATAGCTTTTTGATGCACAGGTCGGTGCATCCCAAATGTTTCTGTGTCCATTATGTTCCACATTTTCTGAAAAGTGGAGCAGGCAGAAGACGGAGAGGATGGACTTTTCTCATCATTAGGTGATTTGTAGACAGACTAGGTACAGATATTAGTGTTATCGTGGTAAAGTGTGTTTGGCATAAAAATAACTTGACATTTAAATAACACTATCGAGCAAAAGTTTTGAATTTCCTGCTTCAGAACAGCTGCAGATTTGACAAAAGAGGAGTTGGTTTATTACCCCTTTTTTCTGGTTTTGCAGCAGGCTCAGAGCAGCTTCATGTTCTTGATACTGATGTGTGTCTGTGTGTGTTTTTGACATTTGTTCCAACAGAAATGTGAGCTCAGATGGAGCTGAGGCTCGACGCAGACTGAGGGAATGTGAGGGACTGGTGGACGCTCTGCTGCACGCTCTCCAATCAGCTGTAGGGAAGAAAGACATGGACAACAAGGTGAGGAGATGCTGGACTCACCCACCAAAAGCAAATTTTAAATAAAGCATATAGTACTTATAAATGTACAGGATATGCCCTTCACTTTTAGTATCTTGTCGATGATAACGTCTGTGTTTTTTGTCTCTTCCCAGTCGGTGGAGAACTGTGTTTGTATCATGAGGAACCTGTCCTACCACGTCCACAAAGAGGTGCCAGGGGCCGAGAAGTTCCTGGATCCCTCGTCGCTCCAGGCCCCCGGATCAGCAGGACCACAGAGGAAGAAGAAAGACGACGCAGGCTGCTTCGGAGGCAAGAAGGCCAAAGGTGAGGAGGAGGAAAGAGGGGCGCAGAATGAAGTACTGCTGTGTTAATTAAACATTAGGAAGTAATCCAGTTTCATTAAACAGTGGAGGAAATGTTGGATTTATCGGATAAAACAATCAAAACCTCAAATCCTTATGAGTGCAGAACCCTAATTAATAAATAAGAGCTGCAGCTTTCGATTACAAGGCTTACTTGTTGTCGCTTACCTTTGATTTTTCTTCATTTAATTCATGAAATCTGGAGGATGTTGTTATCTTCCTGAGCTCGTACAAATCGCTGTCAGCTGGAAAAAGAAACGATTTGTACTCCGTCCATTGGAGGATAACAGACAGCACCTATTGAGCTAATGTTTGAACAAAAGGCCTTTGTGTCCATAATGTCCCCATAAAAAAACTGCCTTTCAAAGCGTTCAACCTCTTCAACATGGACGTCCATCGTGGCACTTTCTGCCCCGTCAGGAGCTTTTCGTCATTATTGACTCCCCCCCCCCCCCCCCCCTTCTGACAGATGTGCCACGTACACATGTGTTGTTAGCAATGTCTTAATCAGCAACCTCCCAGACAGTTAGCTAAACGACGCTTGTTATCTCCCCGTACAACACTAATGGCCGCCATAAATCAGTCGGCCAATGAGGTGTGACTGCCAGCCAGTAACCCCTGACACCTAACGACTCGCTGGAGAATCCTCTCTGATCTAGGGTCAGGAAAAAACACAGTAGCATCAACGTATACTTTATATTTATAAAGACACCAATAAACCACACACACACACACACACACACACACACACACACACACACACACACACACACACACACACACACACACACATTGAATAATGAGTTGTGTTTAGCTGCTGCAGACCCTGAAGGGGTTCTTCAGCACAATGAGGCTCAGGTACAGACACATTAAACACGGCTATAAGAGAGCATAAAGGGGGGTAGTTAAGCAGCACTGTCGGCTGTATGCTTTGTAATTTGTTTCCTTAAGTGGGCTGCGTTTGGCCTCCGCTTCATTTAAACGAGTAAAATATGCCAAAATGATCAACATGCATGCGCAAGCCTTTTTTTTTTTTTACCTGATAAACAGTCTGATTCTCCACTGTTCTTTCAGCACATGTCTGTTTTCCCTATGCACTAAGCACTTATACAGTCACACTGAACATGTTTGTATGACTCGGTATCCTGCCCTCTTATCTGCACTGAAAGCTGTTTCTCTGTCTTCTTGGTCTTTCTCCCCTTTCTCTTTTTCATTATATTACCACTTACTTTAATCAAGTCTTATTTTCCCTCTTAAAAAAAGCATCCCACTGGTGCCAACTCTTTGAACATGCTTCCTTTTGACTGCTTATGTCTTCCCCAACTTTCCTCTTTCCAATCTCTAAAACTCAATCACACTTTCTCTCTTTGGCCTCTCTTGACTTTTTTTTCTCTGTCTCCTTCCCTCTTTGGTATGCGATTACTTTTATTTTGTAAAAACTGTTAAAGGAGCAATCTGTAAGATACCTACTGACTGAAATGATCTTACTATCTGATCAGACATTATGGAAACATACTATGTTGAAGTGCTGGCTTCTCTGACAACAATGCAGCAGCCAGTATGTTCTCCTTCTAACTTTAGATTCTGCTCCTGAATGCTCTGGATTTGTTTGGACCAGAGAAGGTAGGTGGTTTTAAGGCACCCCCCACATGGTAAACACTGAAGCTTCAGTGTCCACCACATGGTGATCTGAGTGAGCATCGACTCTAGAGAGGAGGGGGGGGAGACAGCTCTCTATAATGTTTAGAATTTAGACTCCAGTACCCATTTTAAACACTAGGGGTCAGAGTTACATGTTGCTCCTTTAACTCGACAGCCTCTTGACACTTGCACACGCCTTTTTCACCATTCTCTTTCTCTCTTCTCTCCGCTTTGTGTTTTTTTGGTATTGCTGCTGCTTCCTTGGCTAACTATAGAGGAATGGTTTAATCAAGGTGAGTGTGCCCCTCCAATCTTTGTAACTTCTGCTCCACTCCACCTCCTCCTCTCCATCCTCCCCCCTCTCATCCTCCTTTTCTTTCCTCCTGGCTGTAGAAAATAGAAGTATTGACCTCCAAAACCTCCCGACTTTAGATAATTGGAAGATTCCATTCATTTCACACCACTTCCTTCTCCGTAGCTTCTTCCCTATCTATCTATGTAAAGCATTTCACCCAACACCATAGCCTCCACCCCTCCCAGTCTTGACATTATTTAAGGATAAATTGAGCCTCGGTCTTCTAAGTAATGTATAAGGTTAAAGCAGCAAAGCTGAGCGAGGTAAGTCAGTGTGTGTTTGTCAGGGTGTAAAGTAGAGCTTGATTAATTTAAATGCATTAAAGCTGAAAATTAAAAGTCTAAATGTGTCCTTGAAAAGACACTTTCTGATCTATGATTGGACACCATGTTTGGCTTCTTAGATTCTTAGATACAAATGTCCCCAGCAGCTCTGAAGGACATCTTTTTTTAAAGTTTTTTTGTTGTGTTTAAGGAGAAATGCCAAGCTCTGCTATAGACCCTGTGATATTTTGTGTGGCTGTGTTTGTGTGTGAATGATTTCACTTTTCTAGACGATTGGCGTTGAAGCAAATCTGTGCTGAAGCTACTTTTATCTGAGATTTCTGAGCCAAGTTTTCTTCCTCGTCCTAAAAATTTGTAGAGGTGGTAATTGGGCCTCATTCCCAACGTTCTTACAGCCTGTCCCGATTCTATAGCTGCCTAACTGAGTGTCCTGACAACATGCTACTTTTACCTGACATCCTGTTTCTATTTCCTCTCTGTTGTACCATGGCCGAGGATATACTTGATTTCTGCTATATTTATGTGTAAAATGTTGCACATTCTTCCTCTAGGGAAAAGGAAAGGTTTGTTATCATATCAAAACAAAACTGCAGAAAGGTAGCTACAGATAACTGTTTAAAATTCAAACCAAAAATCCTCCATCCTTTTATTCAGGCATTGAAATGTATGAGGTTATTCCCTGAAGGAACTCGCAGTGACCGGATATTTCACTTCCGTCTCGTTAATGAGTCAGACTTTTTGTCTCTGTATCCATGTGCTGTCCCGTGGGCATGTTCATGTGCATGTGAAATGACCATTAGCAGACTGAGCTGCAATCACCCACACCCCTCTTACTATGGTTTCCTGTCTCCCACTGAATTAGTGAAGAGTGTTTCCCGCTCAGGAAGCGCTGCTGTTCAAAGATACAAGTGTGTGTGTGAAAGAGAAGGTGTTTGTAGTTTTTAATGTGTTTATCGTCTTGTGTTCCTTTGAATGTTCATCTCAAGTCATCTTTGTGCAAACAGCACCATGTAGCATTGATGTGTGTGTTGATACATATCATTCTCATAGCTCTGTGTCCTGTCTGTACATGTGAACTTCATGCTTGCTGTGGTTTGTGTTTATACCTGGGTTAGACTGATATGTCACTTCAAAGATGGAGAGGCTGTTTGAGCATTTTAAGGTTGAAGTTAAGGTTAGACATGAAGTGGGTTCAATAAATAGACACTCAATAGAAACTATTTGAGTCTAATATGACTCATACCAGCCTTTCAACATAATCATATCCGTCTAACCCCGGTATCAAAAGATTGTCCTATATAATCCATTAGTCTCAGCGTATGACACTGACGTCCTCTTCCCTCCTCTCTCCTCTTTCCAGGCAGAAAAAACGGTGAGAGCGACAAAAACTACGACACACTGGATCTGCCTAAGCGCGCAGAGCCGACAAAAGGTACGCCTCAATCTGTCAGGAACAAAACCTCCCTGTGTTAACACTTCCACTTCTGAGGCAGGAAAACTGTCCTCATTGAGACGGTATCCCGCCGGAGAAGACGGATTGGAAAAGAGTAGATATTTCAGTGTCAGCCTAGTGGAGACATGAGTGTGACACTGGTGGAGACATGAGTGTGACACTGGTGGAGACATGAGTGTGACTGTGGTGGAGACATGAGTGTGACTGTGGTGGAGACATGAGTGTGACTGTGGTGGAGACATGAGTGTGACTCTGGTGGAGACATGAGTGTGACTCTGGTGGAGACATGAGTGTGACACTGGTGGAGACATGAGTGTGACACTGGTGGAGACATGAGTGTGACTGTGGTGGAGACATGAGTGTGACTGTGGTGGAGACATGAGTGTGACTGTGGTGGAGACATGAGTGTGACTGTGGTGGAGACATGAGTGTGACTGTGGTGGAGACATGAGTGTGACTGTGGTGGAGACATGAGTGTGACACTGGTGGAGACATGAGTGTGACACTGGTGGAGACATGAGTGTGACTCTGGTGGAGACATGAGTGTGACTGTGGTGGAGACATGAGTGTAACACTGGTGGAGACATGAGTGTGACTGTGGTGGAGACATGAGTGTGACTGTGGTGGAGACATGAGTGTGACTCTGGTGGAGACATGAGTGTGACACTGGTGGAGACATGAGTGTGACACTGGTGGAGACATGAGTGTGACACTGGTGGAGACATGAGTGTGACTGTGGTGGAGACATGAGTGTGACTGTGGTGGAGACATGAGTGTGACTGTGGTGGAGACATGAGTGTGACACTGGTGGAGACATGAGTGTGACTGTGGTGGAGACATGAGTGTGACTCTGGTGGAGACATGAGTGTGACTGTGGTGGAGACATGAGTGTGACTCTGGTGGAGACATGAGTGTGACTGTGGTGGAGACATGAGTGTGACTCTGGTGGAGACATGAGTGTGACACTGGTGGAGACATGAGTGTGACTGTGGTGGAGACATGAGTGTGACTGTGGTGGAGACATGAGTGTAACACTGGTGGAGACATGAGTGTGACTGTGGTGGAGACATGAGTGTAACACTGGTGGAGACATGAGTGTAACACTGGTGGAGACATGAGTGTGACTGTGGTGGAGACATGAGTGTGACTCTGGTGGAGACATGAGTGTGACACTGGTGGAGACATGAGTGTGACTCTGGTGGAGACATGAGTGTGACTGTGGTGGAGACATGAGTGTGACTGTGGTGGAGACATGAGTGTGACTCTGGTGGAGACATGAGTGTGACTCTGGTGGAGACATGAGTGTGACTGTGGTGGAGACATGAGTGTAACACTAGTGGAGACATGAGTGTGACTGTGGTGGAGACATGAGTGTGACACTGGTGGAGACATGAGTGTGACACTGGTGGAGACATGAGTGTGACTGTGGTGGAGACATGAGTGTGACTGTGGTGGAGACATGAGTGTAACACTGGTGGAGACATGAGTGTGACACTGGTGGAGACATGAGTGTGACTCTGGTGGAGACATGAGTGTAACACTGGTGGAGACATGAGTGTGACTGTGGTGGAGACATGAGTGTAACACTGGTAGAGACATGAGTGTGACTGTGGTGGAGACATGAGTGTGACTGTGGTGGAGACATGAGTGTGACTGTGGTGGAGACATGAGTGTAACACTAGTGGAGACATGAGTGTGACTGTGGTGGAGACATGAGTGTAACACTGGTGGAGACATGAGTGTGACTCTGGTGGAGACATGAGTGTAACACTGGTGGAGACATGAGTGTGACACTGGTGGAGACATGAGTGTGACACTGGTGGAGACATGAGTGTGACTGTGGTGGAGACATGAGTGTGACTGTGGTGGAGACATGAGTGTGACACTGGTGGAGACATGAGTGTGACTGTGGTGGAGACATGAGTGTGACTCTGGTGGAGACATGAGTGTGACTGTGGTGGAGACATGAGTGTGACTGTGGTGGAGACATGAGTGTGACTCTGGTGGAGACATGAGTGTGACTGTGGTGGAGACATGAGTGTGACTCTGGTGGAGACATGAGTGTGACTGTGGTGGAGACATGAGTGTAACACTGGTGGAGACATGAGTGTGACTGTGGTGGAGACATGAGTGTGACTGTGGTGGAGACATGAGTGTGACTGTGGTGGAGACATGAGTGTGACTGTGGTGGAGACATGAGTGTAACACTAGTGGAGACATGAGTGTGACTGTGGTGGAGACATGAGTGTGACTGTGGTGGAGACATGAGTGTGACACTGGTGGAGACATGAGTGTGACACTGGTGGAGACATGAGTGTGACACTGGTGGAGACATGAGTGTGACTCTGGTGGAGACATGAGTGTGACTGTGGTGGAGACATGAGTGTGGGTTGTTAAGTTGGGAGGGAGGTCAGCTGTGTTGGTCAACAACAGCATTAGCCTTCAGTCTTTGATGGAGGAAGAGGCAGTCTGGTGATTTAGCTTTGTTTAATGGTTTCGTGCCCTTTTTGTGACAGCCATTGTTGGCAGCTTATGAGAGCTTCAACTCCATAAGCTCTACTTTTTGTAAAACAGCAACAATGTGCTGGAACACAAAGGGCAACAAAAAGACAGCCTGTTTTTGTACACAGAGCTCTATCAAGTTTTCTTTATATAATAGGCGTCCATTGTTGGGTTTGTTTCATTGTACTTCTCCATCATTCACTGGTGGCTTCTGAGCCTGGGACTGGGAGATATGGAATCATCTCTCCCTGCACTGTGTATGCGGTTTAAAAGTGACTGAAGGACGTCATTGACGAGCAGAAAAAAGTTATTCTCCACTCTTTAGTTGATATTATGATTCTGTTGGACTACACATTACAAATATTCTCATTATAGCATGGTAAAGTGGACTTTTTTGCTTCATCCACTACTTCCTTGTCGTTCTTTTTACATCACATCTTGCCTCAGGAGACTCCAGCCCCGCCTCCTGTCCGACAGGGATAGTCCCCCACTGTGAGGGAGATGTGGCTGTTCACACATTACAGGGCAGCCCTCCTCGAATTCTCTAGATATTTTCAGAAGTGCATAAGTGAAAACGGCTCAGTACTGTCAAAAGGTTTGTCAGCTTATCGATTGAAGAGAGAGACCTCAGAAATAAAAGATTCTCATTAAATGTATAAAACCTGCCGATGGGGGACACATTTTCTATCTTTCTTAAAGCACATATCCTCACATTGACCATCTCTATAAGATCCTCCATTGAAAGGTATCATCAGCCTTGCCCCGACCTGTTTTTCAACACACTGATGCTGCAGGAATTGTATGTCAGCATTTCACAAAGCTGGATGGGAAAAAAAAGAAACGGTGTCCTCTCCGCTCCATAAAAGATTGTGTAACGTGACCAGGTACGTTTACAAACTCTGTAAGAGGAATAATGAAGAGTACAGTTTTGTCCCAGACTCAGCAACTGGTGTGCTCTTGCTTTTTGGCACTGACAGGCAGTTGTAGCAAATATCAAAGCAAATCAGCAAGCGTCACACATATCAGTGCATCTTGATATATTGTGGATTTGTGTGCTTGTATTATACCTTCTTTTCTCTGTGTGCCATCATCCTTCTGTCTAGTGGTGTCCGTGGAATTTGCATGCACTTGTTATGCACCCTTATTTGATATTTACACATCAGCACCTTCATCATCGTCTAGTGGCAGCCACTCAAAGTCAATACCACTTCCTGTTTGACTGTTAATTAGCCACATTAGCACGGCAAAGTGTGCCCTCATTAAACTAGATCACGATTAATTGCTGCAAGTTAAGCCGATTTTGCTTCTTTCTTTTTTTTTTTATCAGACCTAGAGTAAAGAGAAGCACATGAACTTCAAGGATGCTAATTAATATTTTCCCCTCACTGGGTTTTCATGGGTAAAAGCCAAGCTGGCATGCATCAACTCTGCGTCTGTAGCGGTTACAATTGTGCTGCGATTACGTTACACAACGTGCTAACAACAACCCTAGGAGGTTTGAATCCAGAGAAAGCAATTATTGTTAAAGGGCCTAAATGTCATGCACTGTTAAAATGTGTAGATGGCTCCGTGTTAGAGAGAGCACTCGGCATTTTCTAGCTCGCAGCCAGACAAATCACATTTGACGTTTATTAGCTCAACACACAGGCGGGTAACAACAGTGAGGTGCACGGATAATCAGCTTTAATCACTAGAGCAAAAAAAAACCACATTGACTGGAGAGTTTTTCTTCTTCTGGGAAATCTCGGGGGTTAACGTGCTCTGGTTGGCGAGACAATAAAAGTCATCTTAATGCCTTGTTGTTTGTCTGAGAAAAAGAATGTATGTGAGCTGAGGCCTGGGTATGTACTGCTGCACCTACTGCACCGGCCGAGCCCGGGATCTTGTCTGGAGAGTTTGCAGAGATAGAGAGAGTGGCTCTCATCTGGCGGTGAAGGCTAGCAGAGATATGGGAGATTACATGTGTATCCTGATCCTGATCGGATGCCAGACAGAGAGAGGTCAGTGCAGGCCGGACCTGGTATTGGGCAATGATTAATCTCTTTGTTTGTGTGTGGAGGTGTGTGTGTGCGAGAAGGCAAAGAGAGGGGCAAGAGAGCGGGCCCAATTGGGTATTAAAGTCAAGTTTGATACGAGGTTTAAAGATAAAAGCATGCAGTGTTTTCAGTATGAGAGCATTTAAAAAAAGATGAGCATTGATTTCTGTTCATGTGTGGACGGACGAACAAGCTGTAAACACACCTTAACCATGATATCATCTTGGAGAGCAAACCGTGTAGTTGTGTTTTAGAAAACAGACTTCTTTATTATTTTGCTAAGTAAAATAGGAAGCAAGAGACATGAAACATGAGGGGAAAAAAAATAAAAGCACAAACACTTAAATAGCCTGGAGCTGTGAAAGCTTTGTCTGAAAGATAGAAAAACACATGTATCAGCAACTCTGAAAGTCATTTAACAAGTTATTTGTTTATTCACTC